TATTACTTCACTTCAGTTTCTTTGCAGATGTTTATTAAATTTAAAGAAGTGGGTGATGTAAGCTCTTCTTTTGCTGTACTGTGGCTATGTTAGATGCTTCACTGTTAGCCGTTGAATCATTTTTCAGGAAGAGTCCTGCAAGTGTTGCAAAAACGGACACTCGATCTAGCCTCGTTCATAAATTACCTAAGAATTCTAATAACGATAACTCCGTGCGGAGCAAAACTGTGCGGTTGTTGAAAGTTCCTAAGAGAGATGCACATTTAGCTGCTGATTCAGAAATTGAACAACTTGGCGCTGCTATTGATTCTCTTAGTACTAAAACAAGTAAGTTTCTTTCTACTATTTTCTGGAATGGAACAAAACTTTGCGAATTATATCTACTTTAAACAGCCCTATTTATAGCTCGAAGGAGTTCATCTCTGCCTCGGAACGGCATAATTGCAAACTCAACCGGTAAAAAAGAATCTCCTGTGCCAAAGCCTAGTAAACCAGAAAAACGCAGCGGCATTTTCAGAGCTTTTGGGGTTTCTAAAAATGATAGAAATTTATAATCTCTCGCTCTCATAATTTTTCTTTTTACCTATCTACGTATACTGAACCTTCACCCACATCGCATCGTTGATGTTGTTGCTGTATCTGTACAGGTTAGTGTGTTGTGAAATTTCTCGCTTTTTGTTAAAAGCTGTCTTGTACTCTCAGTGCTGGACCTTGTTAACTAACTGGTACTCTCTTGCCTCCCAGAAACTTCTCATACACTACCATAATAAGCTACTTAAAATCACACTAATCTCATATGGCATAAAGTCAGTTTTTATATGTGGAAGTTCATGATGAATGGCTGTTTGTTTATTTATACTTCTGATAATTGTCTTCAACTTGATTTTTTAGAGATAACTTTTGGTTTCTTTTGAAGCTGGTTTTTTGCTCAAAAAATTACAGTATTTAAATCAATCCTGCTTCATCACCATTGAGCTTGTTAGTTTAATGATGCTGTTTACCTTGTATACGTGTATATGTAAATTTGGTTTAGAAATCAAAAAAGAGCTCTACCATTAAGTTGCTGATCAGATTTACTAAATGACATGAGATCAGAAAATGTTTGTGGTAGCAGTAATACATGAGCACTTGGTAAAATAAGAGACCTATTCACGTAATTATCATTTAAGAGCCGTGAGGTGTAATGAGCGACGTTTACAATAAGTAAGAAATTAAAAGACCTGAGACTAGTTGGAGGCTGTTAAAACTGACCTAGACCTACTTTGACCAGCTTCCACAAAGGTCACCTTATACCTTGGAGATCTTAGAGTCCCGAACCCCGCTTCCTGGTACTGTGTGGAAAATGTGCCAGTTATTTTGAATGTACAGTTGTTTTTGCACGCCATCTCTTCCGCTGAGCATTAATAATCGATGGAGGAACTGCCAGTTTATCAAGCGACTTCACACAAAGATTCTCAGACAATTAAAGGTGCTAACGAGCAAACCATGGCCGAAGTACCACATCTTAACGTTGGGAAGATAAAAGGTAGGAAATTGACAAACTGCCAGATTGTCTGGCAATAAATAAACTTTGGGTGATGGTCTGCTGCGCTGAATGGGCTGCATTCACTTAGTGACATATACTTAAAACGATGCTGCTCTGTAATTTGGGTGTAAACTTCTTCCAAGAACCGGAACTGAAATATAGCTTGAAAAAGGTATTCTAAACTCCCCGGAAAAAATCGATGGGTTTACAAAAGAAAGTCAGCTCACGTGGAATTATCAAGAAAATCTTCCTCTGCACCCTTATTCAGACGCAGTTAACTAGATTTGTTTGATACAAGGTGAAATCGAATCTTCAATAACTCGAACTTTTTCCGCCATTTCAGTTGTGAAAGTAAATTTCTAAAATAAAAAAAAAAAAATCATTTCAGACTCTTGATTGAGAAAAATTTTGCACTTCGATATTTTTGGAAAAGAATGGAACTGTCGACTAGGACGGGGTAGGTGGTTGCCAATATCGATTACTCAATAAATACAAACATTAAACGCTGAACTTTTGATAAAATTAAAAAGATACCCTCTTACGACTGGCGAAGTCTGTTGCGATAGCCAGGTGGCGCTCCCAAGCAATACTACCATCCCGGAATATTTCAATATACGCACACCATTTGTAATGCTCATTCCCTCCATCAAGACTTACTCCATCTTTAAATAGCCATAAACCAACAGTGCGCTCGCAATAGTCGCAAGTAATGGCATCCCTGACTAATCCGCTAAAAAACAAAACCCTTTAAAGCTGTTTCTGAAATTGCGTAATAGAGGCTCGCTTTTTAAAATATTCTAGGTCGAAAAGGCAGGAAAAAGATACAGCCATTCAACACTAATAGGGAGAACATAACGAAGTGAAAAAATTATTAAACCGTTGCTTTAAAACCGACTCATTAAAATACAGAAAGATAGAAGATATTCATTAGGGAATCACGCTATTTTCTGTGCCAAAAGAAGCCCATATTTCACATCACATCAATCCAAATTTCAGTGGCAGCAATGTATGTAGTAAAACGCAAGGTCAAGCGAAGCGATATTAGGTTGTTTAAAAACCTTCAGCAAAAATGACACTGTTTTCTTAATTTTTGAAATTCTGAAAAGCCCACAACCAAACAGTTACGAATACCGGGGTAAGGTAAAAACTTTTCAACGCTCTCATGAGATCCCTTTTGATACTGCACAGAGCATCAGAAATGAAGACAGCTTCTTAAGAAAAACTAATCAGGCGGACCCATTCTTTCCTAACTAAAATTACTCAGAGGAGCTTTGGTAAATCGTTTTGCAATCAAGTATATATAAATACTGAGGAAACCAAACTTGATAACTAAGAATGTCATCGTGTTGATTGGAATGAAATGCAAAAGCCAATCTTATTGCAAAAACAGAATGGATTTTAGAAAATTTTTATCTTGATACTAGTAATTTAGCAGTTTCTCTACCCGATTTATAGACGAAATGGAAGTGCATTCAAAAATGAAGATATATTTTTGAGTTAATGAGCACCAACCTTTTATGCCAACCTAGGCACGCCAAGACAGCAGCTTTTTGGTTCAAAAAGTTCAAAGCTGATAAACGGACATCGTTTTTATCATCCAATTTTCCAACGCTGACTGATTTTAAATTCATACTAATCAGTGTCTCATACCTTTAACAGAAAACATAGGAATAAACATTTAAATAAAATGAGAAATAAAGTAGAATACACAAACAACAAAGGTTGACCTTTTCCTGATTTTTTCCAGATAAAAGGTTGGATTGCCAAGAGGAACAAGTTCTCTACTTGAGTTTCGCATAGCGCAAGTTGACGCATGTCTGTCGATTATTTCTTTGTTAATCTTCCTAAAATGTCTGTTTTATTAAAATATTTTGCAGATTTCAAAAAGACATTTTATTGTCAGAATAGCTCGGAAAATGTACACAATCAAATAAGACTGAATTAGAGAAAGCTAACTTTATGACAGCATTAAAGACGCTTATATCAACTTCTTCTAGTGGTGGAAGTGAAACATTCATGAAGTTTTTACAGTTAACACATTGCAGAAGGTCGATATCCACACAACGCCAGCCATGCTGCGCCAAAGTCAAAAGCGATACCTCTTTCGGCTTTATCTTCCAGTTCTTTCCCTATAAATATTTAAAAAAAAACCTACAAAAAAGAAAAGCGTAATCTATACACATTATTTAAATTCACAAATGAACCAAAAAAAAAGCTAACAAGAAATGAGAAAAGACGTTCACGAGTGGGATCTGAAGGGATCGAAGAATACGGCGACAAAGTAGCCTGTACTTCCTCTCTAAAATATTAAACTATTAAACCTTCCTAAACTCGGAAAAAAACTTTTAATTCAAAAGTTTAGAGACAAGCTCACTGATTCTTTCTGTCTCTGAATCTTTTAAAAGTCAAAAGGCATCACTTTGCTTTGGCCTTCCCACTTCTTAATTTGACTTTTTTGCCGATAAATCACCCTCACTTTCCGTTTAAGAAGTTTTTGACTGCCTCAAATTCGTCTAGCAAAATTATAAGACTTCCTATATACATCATCCCCATTTGTTAAGTACCTGATTTCCAATGCTTTTTATTTCTTGTATGTCTCAACATGTCGCTATTAATGGCAGAAAATTGAAGCAGTGTTTATGTAACCTTTTTGTAGAAATGATCTATCGATTTGGCTCTTTATCCCGTCTCAACAGTATAACTACCCTGAATTTCTGCCTGCTCCACTGGAGCAAAACGAAAATTGCAACTCAGGTCGAAGTAAACTATCACTGTTCAACCAGCGGATTAATTTCGGTGTTCGTTCCTCTTGCTCAAATGCGGAAATAAAAAACAAAATTTGAACAGTACACATAAAAATAACATGCTTATGACCTAAAAAAAAGTACGTCCGATAACTATTGAACTGCTGGAACACATGGACCCGTAAAAGCAAAATATACGCATAATCAATACACTATGCTTTGGTCACAAGTAAGAATATACGAAGATAAAGTTGGACTAAAAGACTATTAAAATTTCGATCTATAAGAAGTAACGAGGAGAAGTCACTTAAAACTGTGCTAAGTAAATCTGAAAGCATCAAAAAACTAAACAAAAAAGAAGGTGATTTATCGACAATTAAGCCACACTCTCCAGTAGCTATATCAAAGTAGGAAAGCTTATCTGAGAGGAGGAAAAAAACCAGAAAAAAAAATAATGGAACACTCAATGAGAATTTGCCTAGCAGTTTTGGTAAAATCGGCATGCTTAAAAAACATCAAGGACATAGTTAAGCAATTATCAGTGACAGCAGACAACTATGGGTGAATTTTTTCATGGTACTAATTATGGCACTTTTGTAAATGTGAGATGAAATTCCAGGTTTATTTTTTTGAATTTTTGAAACTTTTTACACGTTCCACCGAAGTGGGGATGAAAAGTGAGAGAGATGGAGAGATGACAGGAGGTTTGGAAAATGAAAGCCAAAAATATTTTTTAGTTATTACTCGGAATATATTTTTACTGCACACCGATAAAACTATAAAAGTCCCATAATGGTTAAGATTTGCGGTTTCGCAGATGTTAATCGAGAAAAAGCGTCCAAAGCCATTTCCAGTAAGGTCTTCTTCAGAAACATCATAATTAACTTGCTTTGCACTTTCTGCGGTTGCTTTAATCCTATTGCAAACATTCAATAAACGATCCAGAATTTCGTCAGACATTGTTTCCCTTCTATTTCCCGTGGCAGCTACATGCAAATAGAGTGGGAAGCAACAAAAAGTTTTGACAAAGTAAAACCAGAAAACACAACTGCCTCTGCTTCTTTCATACAAAGTTTGCTGGTTACAGCCGAGGCGCTGTTTGACGAATATAGACTTTTTGCGGCAGTTTTACAAATGACATATATATAACATATACTGCGAGACAAAATATTCTACGTTCTGCTTCAGGCAAAAATATTCTACACCTGGCAAAATTCCAAAGGGTTTTTACAATAATTCTCGCATACACACTCACTTATGCATACTAAGCGCGGCGAGAAGTTTTTCGGATAGCTGTTAACGGACGATAAACTTCCTTATTATTACTATTATTTTTGTTACTGGTTATTGTTATTGTTATCACTATTAGTGTTTTTGCTTTCATTACTCCTAGTATTATTTTGAACTTGTTTGCAGGGAACCTTTTAATAGTAATTTTATAGCTATTTATAGAGTAATTCGTGTTTTCAACAATAGATTGGGGTCTCCGTAGCTGTTATAGGTGTCTCCGAAGTATGCTGTTTATAATATTTTTTGTTTCTTTTGTTTTTGTTTTTACTCCTATAACGTATCTAGATAGATCATTATTTTTTCCCTATCGATACGTATTTTTCTTTTTTGACACCTAAATTTTTTTTTCGTCTCTTTAGCCATTGTTTTAATGGTGTTTTTTTTTTTTTTGTTTGTTTGTTTTACTTTTAAATTATCTTCAAATAATCTATTGGAACAGAACACACAGACGTGTTTACGTGCAGAAACTGTATGGTTTTTGCATCATTTGATATCGAAAAGCACCAACTATTGAAGCACATTTTGGCATCACTGTTGCGCTTAACTAAGCTTTAAAAGTAAAAAAAAATATACAAAAAAATTTAAGCATTATAGCAGGAATGCGCACGAAGCTTATGATGTTTCTGTAAAGGGTTGCAAGGGTTAAAGTGCTTAAAAATTTTTTACCGCACGGGTTATGCGTCTTATTATTTTTAAATTGTCTGTACTTATGATAGATTAGCTGTTGCAAAGGAGCGCGAACAAACTGTGACGTTACTGTGAAAAGTAAAAAGAAATGAGGTTCACATATAAGTCTGGAGACGTTTCCTTGAAAATCTTGGCGATGTTGGTTTATATCATAAATTTATTTCCAGGGTGCGTGAAAGTTTTGTTTCCTTTCTTTCAAAGTATGGAATCTGTTCTGTCACAGAAAGCGCGTTACATTTTGGTATTTCTTCAAGATTTAAAGCACAGCATAAAACTGACACCTTAAGTTGATTTTTAAAACGTGCATATTTTTCGAGGATTTAAACATGCTTTGGAAACTTATTTTTATATGAGGGGTAGTAAATATGTTTCTAAAACAGGATTCTGCATTGCCCAATTGTTTCGGTGATTCATTATCATCGAGTGCATATTTGAAAGTGAGACATCGCAAGCTCTTAGGAGGAGGATGGAGAAGTTTAGGAATCACAGTGGAATTTGTTTGTAATTAGCTCGGCAAATCTAATATCAAATTTAGTGTTATAATTCTCTATAATTCTTTTCACACTTTTCTGCCAGTAAATACAGTGCTTCTGTTATTTGTGGTTCTTGTAAGCAGTGCCTTCAGAACGTTTAGATTCTTTTGTTACACCAAAGCTACAGTATTTTCGGAAGACTTGATTTTAAAATAATGGTGATGAAATTCAGTAGAAAATAATAAGGGAAATTTAAAGGAAGAAGTAATGGCAGCATTATGGCCAAATGATAATAGGTGGCAACTGTGTTTTTTCCGATGGTATGCTATATTTATTGTAGATCATTATAGTACAGAGCGGAGCAATAGTTTTTATCGTTCTTAACTGCTGTTTTGGTCTCGTCGTTACAACATTTCAACAGAGTAATTTTG